CTGGTGCCAGGGAACATTGACTGTGTGCAGAGGGAGGGAGCCTGAGGGTCACACTCTCCAAGGGCAGGCACTTTGACACAGCCCTGGGTGAAGAGTGGGGAGCTGGCAGGTGGGGCAGGGGACAGGGCCACTGCTCCCCTCAATTCCAGCAGGGTGAGGCCTGTACACTCCATATCTGCCTGTGTGTTCGTTTTCAAGAGAAGCTAGATTGAGTCCTGGAGTGCTAAGAGCAGGGAGGGAGGTGAGGCAGCCAGAGGTTTAACAGCTGGGGCAGACAGGAGTCTGGAAGTATCGGGCTCGGACCAATTTTATAGCTGCCTGGCCTCAGGGAATTCCGCCCCTGAGTTTTCTCCTTGGTGAAGGGGAGAATGATAACACACCTCTGTTTCACAGGGTGACCCTAGAATTGAAACTGAGGCAGATAGGCTGGGCGTCGTGGCTCACACCTGTAATCCCAGCACTTTGGGAGGCCGAGGCGGGTGGATCACTTGAGGCTAGGAGTTGGAGAACAGCCCGGGCAACATGGAGAAACTCCATCTCTACTAAAAATACAAAAATTAGCTGGGCATGGTGGCGCACGCCTGTAATCCCAGCTAGTTGGGAGGCTGAGGCAGGAGAATCGCTTGAGCCTGGGAGGCAGAGGTTGCAGTGAGCCAAGATCGTGCCCCTGCACTCCACCTTGGGCGACACAGTGAGACTCAGTCTCGAAAAAAAAGAAAAAAGAACTGAGCCAGAAAACAGCTGTAGGAGATTCAAGGTCTGGCCCAGGGCAGGCCTCTAACGCACGCTTGCTGCCCGCTGCTCTTACCATAAAGGAGAGATGTACGCCCCACCGGAAGATGTATGTGAGATGGTGCTGCATGCTTGCTCAAGTGCTCCCATCAGCTCCTCTCTCTGACTCTTAAACTTAAAATCACTGGTGTGGGGTGTAACAGGGGACAGGGGACAACCAGAGGGGGAAGCTGGCCCAGGATGGCATGCACAGATGGAGGGAGCAAGGGACCACGCAGCCCACACCAGGATCACATCAACCCCACTAGGGAACAGATCCAGGAGGGAAAGTGTCCAAAGATTATAGGTCAGCAGGGAAGGGACGGCTTTACCACGAGAAGTGGCCCCCTGGGACTAACCTATATCGGCCATGTACTGATTGTCGCCATGTACACAGCACAGAGCATGTACCGTGTAGCAGACACTGCATTGAATTATTTGCATGTTGAATGTCATCAAACCTTCTGGCAAATTTGTGTGGTGGGGATCATTATGGGCATCGTGAAGACCAGAAAGGTGAAGTTTAGAGAGGATGCTAGAAGCCAACAGGAACTTGGGGGGACGTAGGGGAAATGGAAACAGGAAGGCGACATTCCAGAGGGAGTTGCTTGAGGAAGGGGAGTCAAAACTGTGACTTGGCTGCTACAACCTGGAATGATGGCTGTGGCGGTAGGGGTGGTGGGAGACGGTGGCACAGTCCATAGTGAGGAGATGAGAGGCGCTGGCCAACCATGCAATGGTGAGTTTCATTTCCAAGACATGGAAGCTTTTTATGTGCATCTATGTCATCTCTCCAGCTATTCTCTACCTGTTCATAAGCGTGGTGTCTTCTCAGCCCTATCCTTCACCTTTCACAGAGCCGCACAGCCTTTTGTGTATAACAACTACCCCATCAATGTATTCTGGTGTCATACATAGGATGAGGTCAGCCTTGGGCAGCGAAGAAGAATGGAACCAGGCTGCCTGGATTCAAACCTCAAATTCTGCCATTTCCTGGCTGTGGGGACTTAGGCAAGTGGCGTAACCTCTCTGGGTCTCAGCTTCCTTCTCCATAAACAGGGGAACAGTAATAGAACCTCCCTCATGAAGATGTCATGAGGATGAAATGAGTGGGTTGCTGTACAGCACTTCCAACAGTGCCTGGTACATAGCGACACTCTACACAGGTTAGAGATCGTGGTCATTGTTTTGGTTAATGCAGAGGGGCAGTAGCCACAGGATCCAGAAATTTCATTGGTCAAAAGTTCACCCCAGGCTGGACGCGATGGCTCACGCTTATAGTCGTAGGACTTCGGGAGACTGAGGCGGGCAGATCATCTGAGGTCAGGGGTTTGAGACAAGCCAGGCCAACATGGCAAAATCCTGTCTCTACTAAAAATACAAAAGTTAACCAGGTGTGGTGGCTGGTGCCTGTAATTCCAGCTTCTCAGGAGGCTGGGGCAGGAAAATTGCTTGAACCCAGGAGGCAGCGATTGCAGTGAGCGGAGATCGCGCAACTGCACTCCAGCCTGGGTGACAGAGCAAAACTGTGTCTCAAAAAA